TCGGTCCGTTCCTCTACTTTGTCTCATTGGTATGCTTGTTTCAGCGTTTTGCGAGTTGTTCGCCGAGGGATTTAGAAAGTGTGCACACGGGCGTCGCAGCAGTTGCAGAAGTCGGGAGAACGGTTCGAGATAGCCTTAAATTTAGCATTCACAAACCAACACCCCACAAAAACCACTGCTAGAAGAGAATGAGCGGTGGTAAAAAGCGGAGGAGAGAAAAGAAGAAGAAAAAAAAAAAAAGGAAGGAAAGGGAGGCGAATTCTGTGTCCGTTTCACTTTTCCCTTTTCCTTCACCCTTGTGTTTTACTTTGTGCCTTTTCCGTTTGATGGCAACCGATCAGGCGGAAAGGAGGAGGGAAGGAGAAGAAGAGAAAAGGAAGGAATTTCGCGGGCGTGGAAAGAAAGCTGGAAAAAGCTGCGGATAGGACGAAGAGGAAGAGGAGAATACGAGAAAATAAGAGGAAGGGAGAAGGACCGGTGAATGCGGTGGATCCCCCGTTTTCCCGCATCTCCCATTGATTTACATCTTGTCTTGGCGCAGCAAGGAAGAAGGCTAGAAGAAGAGGAGAGCGTGTTCTTGAGGGGTGGCCGCACGATATCAGCCGTTTGTATGCGCGGCCGACGCCAAACTTTGCTGAATTGCCCTATGACTCCTTATATCCTATCCTCCAAGCACGCCCTCCCCACGCTTCCCTCTTACGATTCCACCCTCTACTACGGTTCTCGAGTTGTTATACCGTTCTCGGAGAAACCAACCCACACCGTTCCCCCTACACTTTCCTTTCATTCGAAGATTCCGCGAGGAGGGGAAACACTGCACGAATGGTAGAATTTTCCAATTGTAAGTGACGACTATAAATCGGTCGGGGAAGTATTTCAAAGTTAACTATATCCAATTAATTGCACGCTCTATTGCGTGGAACCTGAATTAGTATTTTCGTGCAGAACGCAGGTAATTTGGAATATTTTCTGAAGTATTGTAAGATGTTCCTGTTTTTTTAATTATTCGTTGCAGTACGTTACTGATATCGTGTGTTTTACAGTGAAGCAATGATGTTAATGACGATTAAGGGAAAAATAGAAATTAGGAGAATTAATTGTTACGAAGATTATCACATAGGGTGGACTATAAAAAGTATTACGTAGGGTAGGAGTATAAAATGTGAATTTTAATAGTAATGCATTTCTTTGATCAATTAATATATCTCAATTGTTTGTTAAGGAAATTACTCTTACGAAAAACTTTTGAGGAACTATTGAAGAACAAATGCTTAATTGTATTATTGTCGCTAAATTCGATCTGGTTTTGTATTTTAATATGGAGAATTTATTAAAAATTTATTGTTTCATTAAACATCCCCTTAAATTCTTAATTAATATTATTCTAAAATATTCAAGTTTCCTGTAACCTTTCGTAAGTTCGTATTACAGTTTTCCATAGACTTTTACAATTTCCTAAATTCTTTCTTGTTACAATTTCTTAAATTGTATTTACGTTAAACACATCAACTTTAAGACAAGTCTCGTATATTATCATAAATCACGGTACACTTGAGCGAGAACGAAGTGTCTAGGCAGATTGATTATAAATATTTAAGACGTTATTACAGTAAAGACAAATCGTTGTAAGTTTAAACTCGATTACAAGAGTTAAACCAATTTAATTATGTATCGCCTACTATAATCACCATCGTAATAGGTATTATCTTGCTCAGGTTAATTGATTTAAATAAACGAAAATTTCTACTTGTTCACGTTGATTTCACGCGACACTCACTTTATATGATTATAGGTTGTAATACTTACTATTATATTCGCCAGGATCACTGGGGTCCAATCGTTTCGTTCTACGCCCGTGTTTGCTGTTGTTGTGAACGAACATGTTGTCCGAGACAGCTAGTAGTGGCCCCTCTACTCCTACTTGCGTGGAAATGACCACCTGTTACAGAACATTGAAATTCATCGACGTGAGATATCTGTTGAAATTTCGGTAAGATTGCTTCTAATAGTACAGAACTATTTAAATAAACAATAGGGTAATGTTACATTGACAGGAAATATTTTATTCTGAAATACAGGTGACAAAATTGTCTCTTCCAATAAGAAGAAACTTTGATTAATCATTTTTCGTAAGCAAAATAAATTGAAAATTAATTTAGTGAAATTCATCGACGTGAGGTATCAGTTGAAATTTCAGTAAAATTGCAGAAAATTGCTTCTAATGTTACAAAACTATTTAAATAAACAATGGGATAATGTTACACTCACGGGAAATATTTGAAAATTAGTTTTGAAATTCGAGACAATAAATACGAATAAAGATAAATCGTGAAGAAAGGAGTAATTTCAGCATTCCGCTATAACAGAACTTTGATCAAGTAATTAAATAGAACACGAAAGGGCGTGTACGCAGAAACTATGTCGTATATACAGTGACGTTGCGTAATTTTATTTACGCGTTATGTAGCTATTGTATATATGTTAATCATATCTCTCGTGAACAAGCAATGCAGCCTGATTTGCTGCATTACACTATACGTATTCGCCATGCATTCCGTGACTCTCGTGACTCCCTATTTACACGTATGATAGATATTATCGTACAAATGTATGAATATAATCTCATTAAAGCTGAGCCTTGGATTAGGGTGGCCTTGTGTAACTAACGTAAAGCATTACAACATTAAGTATTTGCCTTTACTTAGAAATTATATACCGATAATATGTCATTACTCAACATTATCATAAAAAAACGTATAACAGAAAATTTATCTTGAAAAAGTAGCCGAATAAAATTTTATCAAACACTATGTAACAAACATATAAATTTGAACGAAAGAAAGCAATTTTTTTTTTTTACGACGTGAAGAAAAATATTTTTACAAATGAAACTGTAGGCAAATTGAAACAAGCCACGTGGTTAACCTGAAGGTACCGGACGCAAACAATAGGATGATGATTTTCGGAAGAAAGTAGAAAGAACGTTTATAAAATCGACTGGGTGGTTGGTAAATGTCCGAAGTTTTGTCCTTTCGCAACTTCTCAACTTTCCTGGCTGGTTGGCCGTATTACCTAGCGCGTAACGCCGTGCAAACTTGCCCCGGCACAAGGGCGAGGAAAACCTGACGGTTCTTCCTGAGAGAAATTTTCGAAGAAGGGGGAGGTGCACCTCTAAAATTTTAATTCGCAACTTCGAGCAATAAGCAATTCCTAAACAAATTCAGAGGTGCGATAAGTGCTTTAACTTTGGTTTGTCTTTAACTGGGTATTTTGATGCATATGGGAATGAATTTTCCGAGAAGTGTGGGGAACATGTGACGAAATATGAAAATTACACGGTAGACTAGACGTAAATAATTAAATTTACTACTTCCTACTCATTTATAGAACGTTTTACAAGAAGAAAGGAAAGAAAGATCGAAAGATTAATTTCACTTTATCAGGGCTTGTAACTTGTGAAAGTTATTTATTTTCAATAGTAAATGAAATCTACTGCTAATTTTGTTAGATTTCTGAGTATATTATTCTCCAAGTACATTTGAATTCTGTATTTTTTCCATAAACCGAAACGAAAGCTACAGTCAAAAGTTAACGCTTAAGGCTATAAGTATTAAGATATTACAAATGTATAATATTACGAATGAAGATGTGGTGAAGAATCTGTTGAACTTCTTTCATAACTTAAAAATTGTTTGGAAGCGTAAAGTTAAGTGCGAAAGTTAAATTTAATAATTTAATTTTTTGCCATCTAAATATTCAATTTTTGATATTTCTAACATTATTTATCTCACGAAATAATACAATTTATACCTAAAAATTAGTTTTCTTTAACAACAAAGATGATAATTTTATTAAAAATAGATAACTGACAAGTAATCACTAATTAATTGAAGTTCCTACGAAACACGTTTAAAAGCATGAAATTTTCATATCTAAACAAAAATAATAATTCTCTTCCTAATTTTTCCTGTAAAACAGACGAAAGCACCGAACACCGTTTCTGAATCAAAAAGAAATTAGCGAACAGTTCTGTCCTCTTTACGCTTCTCGTCTTATATCCCCGATTACATTGCGGCCTTAAGAAGAAGAAAGGAACGTAAGAATCTCCTTGATAAGGCGGACAGATCCAAAGGAATACAAACGAAAAGACGGAGCACAAAGTTTTTGGTAATTTATTTTTTAATTCCGCCTTTTGTCTGTGAAAATGGACACGGGCGGAGTGGCGAGATATGGCTGTCGGTGAGTAGGAGATGTCGTTATACAGAGGTCGGGTAGAAGGGTGAACGGATACGGGGATGGGTCGGTTGATGCCGCGCTGAGCTAATTGCCAACCCCTTGGATTACGTCTCCTGGATGGAGATCTCAACTTTCGACGATAGCCGACCATCGAGAAATTGCTCTCTCTCTCTCTCTCCTTCGCCAACTTTTTCTTTCCCTTTTGGAAATTAAAAAAGAATGCTTCGCAAGTGGAAGCTACGCATCCGCAGACCTGCTATATAGTAATAAGCTCTATAGAGGACTTTTGATGCTCCAGTCTTTGTCCACTTTAGCCTATAATTTCACGAATCGTCACTTCCTGACTCCAATCACGACTAAACTTTGTAAACTATAATACTTTTCCATTTCGATAACATTTTAGGGTATTTTCAAAATATGTCACTGTACGTATGTGTGTGTGAGTGTGTAATAGTTTACTTTGGCTTAGAAACGTAACACCACATTTGGAGATACGGATACAATTTTGTTATGGCGTTTATTAATTCAGAGTCACGTGTTACGAGTGTTTCAGAATGTTGATTAGAACCTCTTATGTGTTACAATTTCTGACAATACAGAAATATGGGTACAATAATTCAGAAAAATAACCATTTGAACAGTAAAACATTGAATATTTTACGTTTGTTGTGAAAGATTTGTGTCCTCTTTAAATCAATGTTTATTATTACTGTAAACGTAATTTAATCAAATTAGTTAAAACTTAAATTTAAAAAATTTAGATTTGGAATCAAAGGTTTTTCACAAAAATCATTTTCTCGGTAATGTGTAAACATTGTGAATTTTCACTTCAGCTATAAATTATTTTGAATTACTGTGCTATTTTGTTTATTTCACCTGCTATAACGTTGTAATCAACACGTTGTGTAATAATTAATTCCTGTTGTGTTGTTTTTTTCAGCAATGCAAGAAGTGTACGTTGGTTAGTGTTTCAGTTAATAAAGATTCAAGCGTTAACTCACCTGGAAACGTCTCATATCGCGTGGGTTGCCGGCATTCTTAAGGCAGTTCTGGTTGCACTTGAGGAAGAACTTGAGGAAGAATCTGAAAGCAGAGGGGACCGGAGTTAAGCGGTTGACAAGGTGCTTAACGCTCTTCAAACGCCGAGAACTTAATTAGAACGCGAACTTGGATGGAAAGTAAGTTTGAATATTGCATAAGCCAATCGCAAGCCTCGTTCTACTCGCTTCTATTATTCACCATTTCTCTAGATTAACCCTTCGGCCACGTGTTCCTCGACCTTTAGGATCGTACAGCATTGTACATTATACACGTAAAGTAAGTATTTACCTGGCTACTTCGCTAGGCTGCCAAGATGTTACAAGGTGAATTCTTCCAGAAATATATTTCATTGCGATGCATGAAAGCAAACGCTCATATTTGTAATTCATACCTATAGAACGTAACTATTTAGAAATATGTGTATGAATCGCTTCAAGAGTAAGAATAGGTAAAAATAATTTTAAATGTTCCTTTTTCATCAAATTTGTTCAATAAAAGTGACGAGATCCTTTCAACGTGTTAATTATGTCTGGAAAATACAATCGAAGGAATAGTAAAATGTTAAGAAATATTTATAAAAAGTATGATCTCGAGAAATATTGAAAATTAATTATTATTATGATATTATTTACAGTTATTCATTTTCAAGATTAATTAATATAGTGTAATGATAAAAAATACGGTATTAATTGCACGATTAAATTGAATTACCTTAATTTAGGGTGGCATAATTATGAATAATTGTAACTTGAAAATATTAAGCAAAAATGTGCTTTCATTACAAATGCACGAATGAGAAATTTAAGTTCGTAGACCTTTATCTCTTTCTATATTCTACAGAACGAGAAATAGACATATGCATTACTACGACAACACATGATTTATTAATTTTTGTTCAAATTTACAAATATAACTTGATATTCGTTAACTTTATATAAAACATTTGTTTAAACAAGTGTTTCATATTCCGCACAACAAAATGACATTAAATGCCAACTGTATAATTATTCTACTCGATACTTTATCTTCGTCTCTCAGAGGAAATCTCATTTTTACATTCCTACATTCGAAAAATCATAAGGTGAACGCGATGTCAGTTTCAGATTATAAGTTTAACCCGAAGATTTACGACATCGTAGACTACATTATCCATGCAATTACAATTTCAAAAAAATGATCACCACATTCATATCAGTCGTAACTTATCGTTACATAGTATAATTTACGACAATACTATTACAACAGATTTCCTACACTCAAGCTTGCCGAGAGTAAGAGACACGAAGAACGAGAAAATTCTCCCAGGTATGAGAATCGTGTGAAAATATCAACGTATGCACACACGAAAACGAGACGAAAGTGAGTTAGAAATGGAGATGGAAAAAATAGAGTGGAACAAGAGGAGACGAGTTTTAGCGAGAAAAAAGCTGACGGCACAATTTTCATGAATTATGTAGCATATCGACGCGAGGAAGGGGGAGGGGAATATTGAATTTGAAGGAAATTTTTGTAGATTCGAGGCATCCCAGTGTGCTCACGGTGACAGAAGTGAAAGAAGAAGGAAGGGTGGTCGTAGGAGCGTCACGGAAACAGCCAAATACGAATATATCCCTGTACATAGGTAGACTGAAATAGATCGAGAGAGTGGAAAACACTCGTAGGAAACAATCAGGAAGACCGAGACGATGAAGAGGTTCGAGGGACGAAAGGATAGTTTTCTGGGTGGCTGGTAGGCCTGTCCTCCCATGGGACACCATTGTCATCCCCCTACGGAGTGCGTCTATACGATCCCGGGACTCCATCGAAAAATCAAACACATACCTTCTAGCAGCGACGCCCGCTTTTTTCTTTCTCGTTTCTGCCGCGAATCGTCCAAGCGAAACTATAGGAGGAGCTTGTCTGATTTTCTTTTTGTTGCCGCGATTTCTATTGATACTCCTCGCCCCCGCCTGTTTCTTTCATCCCCGCCTCTCCACCTTCCTCCATCCTGTTCTTCACGTCGAGAAGTAAACACGGGGGCGAAAGTGTGCATAGCGAACAGTAAACGCCGGTTCGTTTAATTTTATGGACGTTGCTAGGAATAAAATCGTTTAGGAAGTTGCGCGTTATATACGAGCGATCCATCCTCCTTATCGTTCCAGCTGATTTATCTCACGCTACGGCTCATCGTCGTTCCGTGTCACCGTGCTTTTTATTTTCGCATAAAATACCCTCGAGGAAATAGAGCAGCGGTAGTAACAATATAAATAATGCCCACTAGAGAAGTTAATGAAGTAATCAAACCGCGTTGAAACGCGTATTCTAGGTAAAACCGTAACTGCGTCGATCTTATCTTTTATTAAATCAAATTTAGTTACCCTGCGCCTTATTATACTTCGTACCCTTTAAGCAACCTATTCTTTCCCCTCGTTTTACGATTGTTAACGATTTTTAAATATGTATTTTTTAATTAATTAATATCTGCTCCTGATAGTATACGCACGAATAAGAGGGGGGAATGAAGGTATTATCGCGACTTATACACGCGGGGGATTATCTAAACGACACTTTTATCCTTCGGTTCGACGATCCTGCGCAAGTTTTCAGCCGAGTCGAACGTTTGGCACGAAATTCATGTAGCTGGAAAAATGAAAAGTAAAAATGAAAACCGATCGGAATTCCCCGTTGTTCGCGTGGGGTAGTACGGAAGGGAATGCTGGCAGGATGTAAAGAGAGAAGGTGAAGGAAGAAGGGAAGGGAGGACACGCAGAACGAGAAAGGGAAAGAAAGGTATCGATCTCCTGCTTCATGCTTCTCGTATCTATCCGTATCCATGGGCTATATAGGTACACCTAGGTTCCCGTGTTAACGGCTGGTTTTATCGAGATGCTGAATGGGTATTCAAAGCATTGTACTTTAAGCTTATCGTTACTGTAGATCTCGCTCTAAACACGATGTCTCTGTCGTGCCTGAGGCGTGGAGAACGACGATGGTTTCTAGCCGTCTGCAGATGCGAACGCTATTGACTATACCCGTACACCTAACGTATATCACCGTGAAAACGGTGCGAAAACGTCCTGTAACGTGGCTGACGCCAAAGAGAACGACCAATCGAATCGTTCCAATCACAAGTGTTCCATCTTGCTTTAGCTTCGTGCAAGTTTATTCCTCAGACTTACTTTGTATATTTTAAATTTATATGGTAATCTGTAGTAGGGGATTGGAGTAATTTATGACAGTAGACGACAACGATAAGGAATCGTTAATTTCGAGATATCTGGTGACAGTGAGCTATTTTTGTGTGAAAGAGCGTCACGGAAATTACAATTAAACTATTTAAGAGGAACAATGTTACAATTCAGAAGAGGGCTGTTCTAACCCTTTTTTTAATAGTAAGCAATACACATAAACCATATTTGACTATATTAGAGATCAACATTCAAAGACTATTAGCTAAATTGTCAAAGAAAACAAATTGTTTCATTGCTAAAGGATTTCCTGAAAAATTTGCTTCCGTGAGTTGTGTCACCCTTTTAGCAAACCGAGGATATTTATTTACCTTTATTATTACAATGGTGTGATCGATTAGTTGGGTTGATTATTTGTTGAAATTATTTTATGCTTGTTTAAAAAAAGCTGCACAAACATTCAATTCCAATACTTATGTATTACATTTAATTGCAGTTGATCTACTTTTGTTAAAAGTACAGTAAATTAATCAATGCTAACGCGATACAATTTTAACAATTAACAATTTTAACAATTATAACAATTTTCAACGCGACAATTCTGTTACTTAGACTTTATTTTATAATTAAGTTGAAGCATTCCTGAAATGATTTTCGCGTAACTACGACACCCCGGGAAAAATTGTGAATCGACTAATTAAAATTCGCAGATCTGTCACCCACTTGAATACAAATTTTTTGCAATTTTTCAAATAGAAATGTACAAAACTTACGATGAAATTGACAGAGACAGGGCGAAAGAAGTAATGCTATTTTTTGAAAATTCTTTGCAAGGTGTCCCTGTTTTATTAAATCTACTCATAGACATCACTAATCATACGGGATACCCTGGAACTCGTATCGACGTCTATCTATCCCTTCTGCTTTTCCTTTTTCAAGTCGTTTTCTTCCACGTTGTCCTCTGAGTATTGGCTGTTAGGAGCTAATGGATTGCGTTACCGACTGATTCAAATGCGAACTGGATTTCATTCCGCGCTCGATGGGGCGACAGTGTCGACGATGTTGTAACGCCAACCCGAGCAAGAAGGGTGGAAAGGCTAGTTTCTTACGGGGGGCTTAAATTCAATTTCGATCATCTATTAGATTTTTCTCCTTCGACGATGCTTTCCGCGAGCTTGCACCAGTTTTCACGATAAAATCTATCCTGGATCGTCGCTTAACACACCTGGCAAGTGTATTTTACCGTGTCGAAACATAGTATCGAGTAAAAGATCATTTACGTGTATCAGCAATGAAGATCGATATACATATACATCACGATAAATTTTTATTCAGAACATCAGGTTATATTTCAAAAAGTCAAAACTTCTACCCAATCCTTTCCTATTAAATACATATAAATATTTCCATTTACTTTTTAAAACTGACGTCCTCGCGGTGAAACGTCGCCCAAAGGATATTTTCGAAAGTGCAAAGTGCTCTAAAAAATAGTAAGAATTTGTCACAACAAACGAACCGATTGTTATCAGAAATTCCTAACTTCTATCGAAAATTCCCAACTCTCGATACGTTTAGAAGTACAGCGATCATTATCGTATAAACGTGTGCTACAATTAAAGTGTTTTATCGGCAGATCGGTTGATTCTTGCCGTATCGGCCGTTGTTTGGCTGCTAACGAATTGACATGGGATAAAATATACAAAGGCCGACCGATTGAGAAATCATTCCCAACCTACCTTCCGATTGTAGCATACCTTTCCGTTGCTTCGGCTAAAATGAAAATAAAACGAAGCAACGGGTAGCGGAAAGTGGAGGGTTGTATGCGGCGGTAGAAGGGGAGACCGAGTGGCAACGGCGTGTAGTGGGAAACGTGCA